GTGGAAAAGATGAGTTGAGTTTAGGGTTTTGGTTGCAGAAAGGGTTGTTATAAGGGTTCCTATACCTAGTAGTAAAGTAGGTAACCTTTAACCTTCTTGGGGGTACTATAATCCTTATATAATGCCAATATACTTCCGAAGGCTAACCTTCAGTTGGATACCGGGCAAGTCGGTATACGGGTTCCTAAGAGGGGGTTCCTATAAGGGTCCTCGAGTGGCAGTCGGCACCCAATTTGGGGTTTAAGGGTATCGGTTCTAGCAACAGTAACCCACTTGGGGGTCGGGGGCATCGGAGGGATGTGCAACAGGTTTCATGACATTTCAATTCAAGAGATCTGTGGCTTCTTGTGTTTGGGGTGTCTTTTCTTATTAAGGTCATTATCCAATTATCATGTTTTGAATAAGCGTTTTGCGAAGAATTGTTGTTTTAGTTCTCTCCGGGCTTCCGGCTGCATCACTGCCGAAGTTGTTTACGACCTGACCTTCGAGCGGAGCTGTCTCTTGCGGTAAATCCCGTCTCAGCACAACCCTTTTTGGAACTAGGAACCCTTATAACAACCCTTTTTGGAACCTATAAACCCTAATCCCTAAACTTTGCTCGGGAGTCTGCAGGTCAGGCAGGAGGGTGAAGATGACCACGATGCAGAGGAGGCACTCCGCAATCAGAAGCTGGTTAGACTCACGAGTTGTAGTACCACGCTGATGATATCCTCTAACTCTCTAAACAGGGCGCGATGCTTATATGGAAGACGGCTTTCCGAAACCGCAAGCTTCTGACCAGAGTTTGAGCCGGAAGCCCAACTCCGCCCAGAGTTCTAAACACGAGGCTCCAGCGTGTAAGCATGGTTTAGCTGCTAAGCTAGGTTTGGGAATTAGGGTTTAGGGTGTACTTGTGAAGCAGATGTTGCCCCTGTTCTAGTAGTACTCGGATTCATGTTCATATTTTTTGGTGACGGCTCTTATCACAACGGCGACGGGTGAGACAGTCGACTGCCTTGTTTCGTTGCTAGTGTTATGTTGATATGACTAGTGGCTACTACAGTTATGATTATCGTTAGTATTCGTATTACCACTACTACTACTACTACTACTACTACTACTACTACTACTACTAGTACTGTTACTATCACTACCATTATCCTTTGTGGTATGTCTATTATCATCATTCTGTGCGGTGTGCGATGGTTGCAAGATCTCGACGCTGTGAAGGATCCTTTGCATGGTTTGGCAGCTGAGTGGGCCGTCGAGGAGGTGCGATGGAGCAGCTACTTGAGGAATGAGGGGACTAAGTAAGTAGGGTTGTAAGTAAGGTGACTATAGCTATAAACCAGGGTTTGGTGCTGTTTCAGTTGTCGAGTTTGTGGCGCTGCAGTTTCGGACGGCATACTGTTCTTCAGCATGCCTTTGTCAGAAGGTGGCACAGGCTCCCCGCCAAAATGGTGTGTAACGTTTGGAATGTGGGTACCTTTACGTGCTGCATGCTGCTTATCAGTATGGAAAAAGAGCCTAAGAGTCGTTGGGGTTTCTGTTTTCTGTTTCGGGCAGTTTTCACCTGAGGAGAAATCAATTCATGCTGTGCTTGCGCAGCAGTCAGTGCAGCGTAGGTCTTCCTAAACGCCTGTGCGCAAGTGCTAGCATCCGTCGATGGATCTTCTCCTCCATCCCATGATCCTGACCCTGCACATCCAATCCTGAGCTTTCGGGGTTTGCTCTTTTGAGGAGGGCATGATCGTAAAAGCTCGAGGCACAAAAACTTCAAGCTCGAGTTCCTTTGTCGCAACCCTGCGAGCACTCGAACACTTCATGCGCGACAGCGACTATCGACGAGCTTGCAAGCGGACGTACGTCGCAGTACAGATGAACACACATTCAACAACTTTTAACTCCTGTTTTACGGTTTACTGACCCCTGTTCGAACCCTTTAATTAATCGTAAGCCCTACTCCCCGCGCCTGCAAGTGAAGACGTCCTGGTAGCTAAACCTCGGATCATTACTGGGAGGCGGAGAGAGCCTTGGAGAAAGATCCGATTCTTGGCCCAACTCCTGTCTCCGGCTTGCGATAGTCAGTAGAGTTGTGGAGGTTAAGAGCAAGACACACCAACCGGAATCATGCTGAACATGAATGCTTCCTAGACCCTCCATCTACCCTCTATTAGACCCTAACCCCTAAACCCTAAACCCTAAACCACCCATTACTTGGGACCATATAGCCAGGCTATAAAGGAGGATCCTGGTTATCTTGTCCTCTTCCAGTGCCCTCTGCCCTCTGGAAGTTAAGGCCTTCGGTTGTGGGTTTCGACTTTGCCTTGTACTAAAAGGGGCCTGAATACTTAGAACAGGGTTTTGGGGTGTACTCTAGTACCCTTAACAAAGCCCTAAGGAATAGTATTTTCAATGAAGCCAAAGTCAGCTGGCTACTAGCACCGCTTCCGAGCGTCAGTGGTTGCATGCGACCACTAGCAAACGTATCTGCGTTGAAGCAACTTAGTACACCTAAGTTGGGTTAAGGGTTTGGAGTACCTGTCCCTACACTGAGCCTCCGAACTTGAAATCCTGAAAGCGCTAAACCGCGTAACTGGAAAGCCCTGAAGCCGTTCAGCCCAAGACCCACGGCCCCAAGCCCCGGAAAACGAATGAAGCCTTAATGAACGACAGTACACCCAAAGCCGCTTATTCAACCCGATAAGATCCGCGGATGCAGCAACGACAACCCCAAGGAAGTGCTTCCTCGCTGCTTGGGAGGGCGCCGTCGCGGCGAAACATGTAGGCACCAAGAGCCGGGTGTCTTCAAAGGCTTGAGATTTCAGGGCTTTAGGGTTTAGGGTTCAGGGTTAGCCAGGTTTGGGGGGTTCTTGGCATTTATCAGGGCTTTAGGTTTTGGGGGGCTTGGAAACTTTGAAGACGCTCTTTTGTTCCGTGCGTGCGTGGATGCGAGTGTTATTGTTTCAGGTTTTGACGGCGAGCTGTCGACCGCAGGGCTTGTCATGGGGGTTTGAGGTAGGGCTGATGATTCTCTGTGTAGGGAATAGAAACCGGTTTGAGCATTTAGGCTTCCAATTTGGTGGGTCTCCAGACCCATTCTATTCAGACCAATTGCCCCAAACTCTAGCCCGGAGCCTGAATGGCCTACCCGCTCACCCTTCAAACCTCGAACCCCCAGCCTTCCACAGCACATCCTGCACCTGTAATATAGAAGCCTAAATAATTACCCATATTATTCCTTAGGGCTCCTTATTAGAATTATGCTGTAAAGGAGCCCCAAACACCCTTTTATAATAATTATTATAGGCCCCTACATTGAAAATTTCAACCCTGAGTTCCAGGCCCCAACCTCTGAAGTGGAAGACTCGAAATCGAGGAAGCATAAACTTCTGAAACCCACCAGGACCCTCCCTGTACCCTCAAAAAGGGCTATAGGGTCCCAAATAATGGGTATTTCGGGTCTAATAGAGGGTAGATGGAAGGGGGTATATGATGGTCCCAAATAATTGCTATTTTTCGGGTCTAATAGAGGGTAGATGGAGGGTCTACGAAGGCAGTGGGAACGACAACTGCCCCCCAACGCACGCCAGGCTGGTGGACGAAGGGCCGACAGCTGGCGAAGCAGGCATGCCGGAGACATGCGATGTTTGTTAAGCCCCTGTCCTAGGAACTACCCATAGGCCCCTTAGTAGTTCCTTTCTGGGATTACCTAATATAGGACTGTAAATAAAATAATAAAAGCCACAAAAAGGAACTACCATGGGGCCTATGGGTATCGTAGTGCCCTAAACCCAAAACCCCAAAGCCCCTTCACCCAAACCCCAGGCGATGCAGGCGGTGCCGCCGGGGCCGAAACATCGGGCAGAGCGCGAGACGGCCGGGGCACCGGGGTTTTTGGGTCTAGGGGATAGGGTTACTATGAGGGCGGGGCTTCGGGGTTTAGGGTTTAGGGTTTAGGGGTTTAGGGGTTTAGGGTTTAGAGTGATTGGGTTAGTATAAGGGCGGGGGAGATTAAGGGGAGTATAGGTTAAGGATACTAGAAGAGTATTCTAAGGGGATTGTACGGGCACTATGAGAGCACCGTGAGGGTTTAGGGTTCGGTGTTTAGGAATTTTGGATTTAGGGCTTAGGGTTTGCGGATACTGTGAGACTGGTCCGGCCTGATGATCTCGCTGGAACAGTGTTGAGTCAGTTCAGGGTTATATATTGCGTGGATGGGACAATTGGCGAAATTCAATACCTGTCAGGACCCTACTCCCACAATCTAACACAGACAGGCACAAATTAGATAAGTTGCGATTCACTTGCAAGCAACATCAACAAGGGTGTAAGACAGGCCAGCACGCTGTTCCTCCTGATGGCGGAAGAAGAGCAAGAAGAGCCCCTCAGTTGGCAGGAATGATTTTGAGAGATTCTTTGAGCTTGCTGGGTTTTCGCAGTTCAGGAGTGTTGATGCCGAGTCTTGGATCCTCGTGCACCCTAAACCGTCAGCCCTCGACCCTGCAGCCCCTAAACCCTGAACCCTAATTCCTAAACCCTAAACCCGATAATCACCAATACTCAAACCCTCAAGCATGAACCCTGCACCGTTTCCTTGTGTCGGCCGAGGAAGCAAAGAAAGGCAGGGGCAGGGGTTGCATTGGGAAGGGGACACGGTTTAGGGTTCACAGGGTTTGGAGTTTGGACGGGCACGTCGGGTTTTGTCGGATTCTCCGGAGAGTCTCATAAGGCTATCAGGTATGAAGGGGTTTCTGGAGCTTAGGGGAGTTCCTTGGAGTTCTACCTAAGGCTTCGGGTTCAGGGTTCACGTTGTTTTTTTCAGGATGTATTAGCATCTGTTCTGCAGGCCATCTTCCAGATCAGGGTCCGGGTTACCTTCTTTCAGGAACCGAGGGACATGTTACATCCTAAACCCTGAGCTTTAAGCCCTTTTGTAAACCCAACTTAAGCCCTAAACCCTAACACTCTAGACCCTACGCCCTAAACCCTAAACCGTCTGTTGTCTCTCAGACTTTCCCTGCAGATTCCCCGCCGCCTTATACCGTAAACCAGCCCTCACCCTACAGCCCCCCTAAAACCGTAAACGAACCCACCCCCTTAAATTGTGAACTAACCTCCAAGCCTACACCTCAAGACCCGTAATCCGAGACCCCGTAGCCCAACGCCTCTGCCGCTTTAATCCCAGGGTTCATAATCGCTTCAAGACCCTAAGCCTTCATCCCTACGCCTTAAACCTTTATAACCCCCCCCCCCCCCCCCCCC